AGCTGGTCAATGGGATTTTGGTTCCCATTAACCAAGAATCCCATGTTCTTTTTTCAGATTTATGTGAGGATCAGGGAAAGTTTATTTTTCTCGGTATCATCTCCTAGGTGGATAAATAATTTTCCCACCTAGGAGAAAGTTACTAACACTTGAATGGACAAAAATGCCCATTTTAATAATAGATTTTTATGGCTAAATTGGTCATTGCCTTATTTATTTGAGAAATAAAAGAACATGGGTAAATGAACCTACCCAAGTAAGTATTTTACAGGAAAACTTACACAGGTAACTGCATTTACCTCGATATAACTAACCAAAAGGGCCTAATAGAAAATAGAAATATTGAAAATTCACGGTGAGTCTTAGATAATTCCAAAAAAAAAAAAAAAAGATAATCAGATTTGCTGTCCTGTTTAGTGAAGAACAGCCTTTCCCATGGTTGTCTGGTTATGTTGAGGACATGCTCCTCTTTTCTTGAATAGAATTCGTTATTTACCGAAAAAAAATCTTCATATACGGTCCTGACTTGCTGGCGAGATCCCATCAAAATTCAGAGTGCTCAAGATACGCAGACCATCATTGAGTTTTGATGACTGACCACCTGGCCCAGATTTGACTGGGGCTCCATCAAATTCCAGGCCTGAATCACACCCGTGAATCATGGACTGATGGTTCTGGTTTGGCCAAACCCAACTCCTTCAGGCGGAAAAGCTTTATAACCAGGGCTATTTTTAATGGTGCCATGCATTTTCAACACCACCATTAGTGGCCAGGTAGTCTGAACTCTGACCTTGTCTGGTCATGATCAACGACTTATGGTGATCTGACACCAGACAACATAGCTTCCTGCTAACATTTAATTGGAAATTTTCTGCCTTCTGGAGTGATAAATGCAAGACCAGACCATATTACGTTTGGATAGGCTAGTCAGACTTGCCTATTTAATGGAGAGAGGTTGCAGGTCGGTATTTGCTGAAAGCATTATTTAATAAAGATGAATCAAAGACATTAAGTCCTTAGTTCTTTGCCATTCTTTTGAAGAATCAATACCTGAAAACAGAAGTCTACATTTGACTGTTTTTTGCAGCTCAGGCCCATCAGAGGAATCAGAGCCTTTATCCAAACAGAGTAACCATAGCTCTTCTCATTGCTTCCATTGCAATCAAAGATGCAACTATGGATCATGTCAAGCCTTCTGTTGTGCATCAGAATTGCCATCTCATCTTCTCAGACTTCACCTGCTTAGGTGCAGTACTGAACTCCTTAGCAGGAACACTCTCCATGAACAAGTCAATGAAGCTTTCACCTCACTATTTACTGCTGTGGTAATTTTTAATTTCTGGGTCAGGGAAAGACCATCTTCACTCTTGTTCATAAGGCAAAGTACCCAAAGTTTTCAAATACTGAGGACCCATCACTTTGCACTGTCGTTTATATTCATCACAATTGATTTCATATCTGCCTGGAGCTGCTGTAACTGACATCAATCACCTTACGAAATTGGATTTCTTTATTGAGGGGAAAGACCATAGATGACAATATATGCTCTTGTTACGTGTGCTACTGTAAAATCATAACAGAGACCAATTTCCATCAGAAGTGTGCAGCTAAAATTGACTAATCTTAAGGCGTGTGACACAATTAATTGACTTAATTTCCTTGCCATCAAAAGTGAACGGATTTATTTAGGCACACCCCCTTTTTGATGAAGGGCTTCAACCCTAATCATTAGACAAAAGAACCTGGGTTAGTATATAGATGGAAACACTTCTATGTTTTGACTTTTACCCAAAAGTGTTTTCTTTGTGTGATATGGCCGGTTTAGCAAAATGGGTTGTGCCCAAATTATCCCCTTAACCGTCAAGTTTTACAACAACTGATACAGTACTGCTCATAACAGAGAAATCTTTGGCAACCCATCAAAGCAATTCCTGCAACAAAAGCACTAATTCACCTTAGCTTGACCTTGGACACCCTTTGTTTGCTTGCAGTGCAAATCTGAAACGGATGTAAATTTCGCACATAGTCCAAATTGGCATATGTTTGTTTGTAACTATTAATTTCACCTTTGCTCAATGCAAAATCTTCACGATTAATTTGTCCCCAAATTTCATTAGCATTGCAAATCTTCTTCATACCTTAATTTCCTCTCATATAAGTGGGGATTACATTTACATGTCATTTTACTTCCTTTTATACTACTCCCAAATGAACAGTCTTCTTCCTACTTTGATTCTATTTCATATAGAGTGGACACCACGTCATTTTACTCCCCATGAACAAATAAAACAAGTCAAACTTCAATCTAAAGCAAATCAGAATTTACGCTTAATTAGTCCATTTGCACATGTATTTTGGACCAGTCTAAAACTCCAACTTTCTTTTACACTGCAAACAAACAGACAACAAGTACACGTTTGGTTGGATTCTTTCAAAAGGATTAATACGCGATAAAGCACTGAAATTGTTTGTATGGGCCCTTGCCTCCAATTAACTGGAATCTTTACCCCATTAGGCCTAACACAAAAGTTTAGTCATTTGTCGTTGTCTTTTGAAGATGCTTCATCTAACCATCTGGGCCCTTGTCTTAAAATATCAGTCTAAGAACAGAGCTCCTTCCACAAGCTTTGTTGAATTGTGTACCTGCTTGCGGTAATCCATCATCAGAATCTTATCCAGAACTTCAATCCAAACGAAAGAGACACCTCCAAACAAACTCATTAATTTCTTCCTCAAATTACTAAGCTACAAGCAGGTTAGCATCAAGGTTTCACTGCTCTCTCTCGTCTCTCAACCAACTTCTTAAGCAAAGAATCGCTTCAAAGAATGCCATACTATCAGATGAATCAGAATAACCAAGTTGGTAGTGGAAGCAGAGAGTCAGAGATCCTTCTTGGTTGTGTGTGTTTAGGTAAAATCTGCCTGGTTATGTTGCAATTAAAGCAGAATAGCATACACAATGAGTACAAAGTAAAGACACCCAATTCTCTAAATTTTCTGTTGGGGTGGGAGTTTATTACTTCTTACACTCCATTCCATAAGCAATCTCTTAAACTGTGATTACTGAGACATCGTAAAAAAAAAAAAGTGGAAGCCTCTGGTACAGGAAATAAACAATAGGGAGATCCTAGACTGAAATTTCCACAGTGAAAACACAGATTAACTTAGGCAACACACTGTACTTTACTTAGGTCCTCAGACCACATCGATCTAAGAAACTTGAGCAACATCCTGGCCTTGTTCTTGGCCCTGGAACCACACTGGCTCTGAAGTAATAGTAGCAGTTGTTTCAAGACTCCGACGCCTATTGCTTCTTCTCGCACCCTCAACGAATCGTAGCACATGATCAGCAGAGAGCTGACTGCACTCTCACTGCCTTCATGATCAGATACTCTGAAAACCATCTTAACAAGAGCATGAACTGCACTTGTGTTCTTAATTGCAGCCTTCTTGCCGCTCTCTAGTCCTAATAGAAGCTCAAGCGTGGCCAATGCTGTCGATGCTTGGCGTATGTTGGCAGTAGAAATATAGGCTATAAGGCCGTCCACCCCGCCTGCCTTAACAATATTTTCTTGATTCAGGTCTAGAGAACACAGAGCAGATATGGCTTTAGCTGCTGCATCAGAGGCTTCTGAGTTATGATGCAGGAGAGTTATCAATCCGTGCAAGAAATTTCGGGTTTTCCCAAGCTTCACGCAAAGTTCTCTGGTTTCTGAGGACGATGCAATTGCCTCTACTATCTGACACAAACTGGTCTTAATCTTGGTAGTGCCCTGGTCTAGTAAAACCAGGAAGGATGCTAAGTTAGAGTCTTCTTTGAGCATATCTAGAGAACCCAATTCGCTGAAAGCCAGCATGTTCAAAACACAAGTGAGAGATTGTTCTGCGAGCTCTGAATAATCTCGGTCGAGTTTTTCTTGTCGACGACTACCGACGTTAACGAATAACAGTCGCAGTAGTAGTGGGAAGAAGCCTAACTGGATCAAGCCATACCTCCACGCCAAATCCTTGGACAGAATTCCGAGTTTCCCGAGTGTTTCTATCTTAGTTGTCAAGGTTACTTCGTGAGATTCAAGCTTGTGCTTCAGGGCGGCCAAGGACAGGTCTGGATCGATGGTTTTTAAATAATCAGGGTCGAAGCCGTAGTCCATGCAGAGCCACTGGTCTATCAGATGCCGAAGCGTGTGATTGGGGACTAGGGAAGGATCGTGGAGCTTCTGCATTGTTACAGGACAAGTGAGATTCCCAGCTGCAAGCCATTTCTCAATGCTGGATCGATCATAGGTCTGGCCTGTACATAGAGTGACTGGATCTGTGAACAAGTCTAAACTAATTGGGCATCTAAACAAGGGAGGAATGGTCATCTGATCATCCTTCATGGATGGCAACAAATGATTTAAAAGAAAGAACGAAGAAGAAAGAAATAACTGGGTTTGGTTTGATTCAGAAATCAAGAAATGGGTTATGAGGAACCACCGAAGACAGTCGACATAAATTTTATTGGCGAGAGAGACTTGATGAAACCCAGTATACAAGAGGCGGGTCTCCTGTGTCAGCAAAAAACAAAGCAGCAACAGATGGCCAAAGTAGTGAATTGGGCCTTCATCTTGAGATTCCAGAGCTGTCTACTGACACTGAAAACCAGCAAGAGATGACAGGAGATGTAGTGGATTGTCAAGTGAAAATGAGTAAACTCCAGCAACGGGAGTACTAGAGGGAAATGCAGGTATGAATAGGGAAATGATGGGAAACTTCAGATGAATAGAAAGGTGAGAGATTGCATTTCATACTGACAGTGGATGAGTGGTAGAGGCTACCAAGTAAGGAACTTCTAGTTCACACTGACAGACAATACATATGAGAGAGAGAGAGAGAGAGAGAGAGAGAGAGAGAGAGAGAGAGAGAGACTAAGAGACACAAAAGGGAACAAAAGTGCATCTTAGTTGGAGGAATCCGATTAGAACACCAATATACAAACAATAGAGATGGCTATCGTGGTCCTTATCCTGGCTGAAAGTAAGAGATTATAACTAATAGGATACAATAATAAGAGAAATAGGGACCAGAGAGTCTCTCCCTCTCAATCTATTCATGTGGCTAGTCAAATGACCAACCTACACCATTTGAAAAAGCAAAATTAACAATTATACTTTTGAAAACTTTGAATCCATCCAATAGCCAGCCACAAAAAAAAAATAATAAATAATAAAAAGGAAAAGGAAAAGGAATACCCAATATAAACTGGAAAAATCAAACTAGAAATTGTAGATGTCAATTAGATGAATAGGGGGAGAGAGAGAGAGAGTTACAGGACTCATGAGAACGACCTTAATGTGAAGAATCAGTTCATCAACACTGGGCAGTGACTGTATTATTCTGAGGTTGAGCTAATATAAAATTTGGTTGCCTGTTCATGTTCAAACTTGTGGTTTGGAAGGGTTCTCAAAATCCTGAGGGAACTAGCTAGCATGGGTTCTAATCATGTTGATGAATTTGTCTCTTTCGATCAGCAGAATCCATGACTGAACCCTAAAAGGTCCTCTTAGAAACATTTTCATTCTTAGATTCTTGGAGAAAGGAAAGATCAGAAGGAATGGAAAGAAGAACAATTGTGTAAGATACAAAAATCGTGTTTGGCAATTCCACTCCGCAAGGGCCGTGTCAAAATGTGAGTCCTCAAATGTTTTTCTCACTACCTCCACTCATTCCCTTACATCTTCTAGAAGAGTAGAACCCTCAACATGTGTTTTTAGTTTAGATAAAATATTATTAATTAGCCGACTGTGTGGACTAAATTTTTTTCTTTTATTTAAAGAAAAATACAGTGACAGAATTTCCGATCCAGGGCTTACATACGGAGCAACAGAACGGCTTAACTCCTCATAACTTCCATTTTACCCATATTAAAAGGATTAGGACCCAACATTGAATGATCCATGGATGGGCCAAAAATCAATTTAAAATCTGGTCATGAATTAGATGATTGAGGGTCAACTAGTTATATTTATCTTTTGTTTAAGCTTCTTCTTAGGCCCAACCCATCAAATTCTGGATCCTGACCCTTCAAATAGCAACATGTGTAAGCTATGGGAGGCCTAGACCCCATTTATATATGGGCCCTGCAACAAGTTTCTTTACTGTAGTTTCTTTTTAAATGACTAGGGATGTCAGAAGAAGGTTTATTTTTTGGGTTCAAGAATCATCATCCAATAAAAAATAAAATTAAAAAAAAAAGTTGCCAACTGGCTCAGCTAGTAAAGTCAGATGATGTAGCTTAGAAATCAAAAGGAGTGTTTGAATTCTTCTCTCCACACTCTTTTTTTTTTTTCTTTTGAAAGCTTCTTCCCACCCTCTATTTATGGAAAAGATGTAGGCCTAAAACATACTACTATATGTGCAAAATAAGCCTACCTTCATAAGTAAATTAATTTATATTATATTAAAAATTAAAATTTTGAATGCTTAAATTTAATTGTAAAAACCAACAATACAGGGTGAGGGTGGGGCATATGGCTCACATGGATTCTGGGTTTAAACATGTGGAAAACCCTGTGATTTCTTTATCCCATGAAAGGTCCATGTCAGCCACAAGACCTCTACATACATGACAGAAATAGGTAGATTCCTACAGGGAAGCTTCTCACTTTGAACCAATTAATGAACTTTTTTTCACTACACAAATAAATACTAGCAGGGAGTTAGGGATATAAGAGAAAATTGAGGAGGAAAAATAGTTATGTGAGAGAAAAAGTAGGAAGGATGGAATAGAACTTTTGAGGAAAGAAAATTCTAGATATGAAGTGGAAGAAAGTAGGAATTTCAAGAAAATATAAAAGAAAAGACAAAAAACACAAAGAAAAAGGAGAGGAGAGTTTTAACTTAATTTTACATTTTTTGCTTGAACAAAATATATAAAACCATGGGGAGAGCCATCTAATCATCTCCTTACTATAATATACAATATAGATATGATTGATGTACATTTCCCTCCATTAGAGGTGGGGCTTAAGAATTAATATTAAAAAATCTTGGGAAAACTTGTATCATAATCAATGGATAAAGAAAAGAATTGATGAGTTCATTTAATTTTACATTAAAGTTTTTTTCTTAATCTAGAAGAAGGATTAAAGTATCGATATAATACGCCCATATGTATGGGCCATATCAATTTTGGGTATCGGCGCATATTAACCGAGGACATACTTGATCTGATATACCTTTTCTATAAGCAAATACAAAGCCATAAAATGATAAACAACAATGTAAAAATTGGTTGGAACATACAATATATACCTCTCTTTTTTATGTTTAAACCCCAAATATCATCAAATCCAGTTGATTTGTCAGATACAAGGAATTATACTATATGTAGTATATGACAAATATGAATGAATTTTTGTGATGTGATCGAGATTGATAATGATATTTACCATCAAACTGTCCAATTCGATAAATGAAGTAATGAACAGCATAATCTTATTTATTTATCAGTTTTGACCAGTCAAAGTTTTCGGTTCTCATTGAATGGATCTTGATTGAAACAGTGATGGTAATTTGAAATGCTAATTAAATATAGCATTGAAGTCAGACATGCATACACAAAGATTTCCCCAAAAACAGTGTCTATTACTATTTTCATTAGAACATTCTATCAGAATTTTCTTCACCATTCAAAGTGGTTTGTGTCATCAAGCATACTTAACATATAAGTGATCTCTTTTTTTTTCTGAAAATAATTCCATTAACAATGCTAAGAAAAAGACAACCTACTTGAAATTTTAACCCTTTTCTCTAGTCCCACTATACATCGAGATATATATCCCCATCAAATGACACCACTTACCCAACAATGTAGATTGGTACAAAGTAAATTACACGAGAGAGAGAGAGGTCAAAAAAAAAAAAAAAAAGTGAAAAAGACAGCCACAATACCATACAATAGATACAACAAAACCCAATAGTAAAAGCTTGAGAAACTTGTAGCCTTCTGGAGCTCTATCTTGTTTGCCATTTGAACAGTTCTAATTTTGTTTGTTTGTCAAAGAATATGAAATAAAATAAAGTCATTTATTAGAAAAGTAGAAAAATTCAAATATGTCAATTCAAGGAGTTAATGAGTAGATATTAAGGAGGCTCAAAAAAGTACAGCTTACCACACTAGCTGACCAATACGACTCTGGTCTGGTTATTAATAAGATCTGAGTACAATGTGCTGGACCCAGTTAATAATTTGTTGGGTGATAAGTTTCCTACATTTATACTCCATTAGGATCTTTGTCCAATCTCATAGATGCCCCAAAAATATATAGAATTATAGATGCATGTCTCATAACAAAGTACTAAAACTGAACCAACTTTATTGTTCAGCTCTCAAAATTCAAGGTGTCCATATTGTGAAGCCCATAAAAAAGAAATCAAAATGCTGAACATCATCACTGTATTAACCCAATCTAAAGTCTGAACAGTCTTTCAAAAAAAAAACAAAAAAAACAAAAGAAAGGTAAGATGTATATAGAGAAAGGAAAGAATAAAAAACAATTATTCATTGGAAAAATCCAATTGAACAGACTGACTACTTTTTCATATAAAAGGTCTTTTATATGCTTTCTAATGGTTACACAAACCTGATGAAAAGGGATATTCTGCAACAACCCTCATAGAACATATTGTTGTATTGTTTGAATCACATAATATTCATCTCTTTCTTTTTGTTTGTTTTAGTGTTTTTCCATTTTAAATTGCCAAAATGGTGGGGATACTGACTGTCTGTAGGCATGAACCGAATCGAACCAGCTGTTTGTGCTTGCACATAAACCCAGTAACACAGAGAACCAGTCTGCATATCCCGTGATGGCATAGGGTATTTTTGGACCCATTATGGTGATGATAGTCATTTTTTACTATTATAATGTGAAACCTCCTAAAGGTCTCACTCCACCGACACAACCTCAATAGCCCAAACTGCTGAAGGAGTGAAAAAATAGAAGAAGAAGAAGAAGAAGAAAAATTTACTGCCCCAAACTTATCTTCTACATACCCATTGCCATGATATCAAACTGGAAGCGGGTCTGGTTCCCTTTTCATGGTTGAACCGTCTGGTTCAGCCTCAAAACTGTCAGAGCCATCCAGTTTGAACAAGTTTAGCTTTGAAAACTTTGATTAGTTATTACAGGGGCTGTTGTGATTGTGATACACGTACAACCATATTTGGTTAGGCTGAATTTTATGGCAACTAACCTACTGATTAAATTTTCTGAAGAAAATTTGTGTACCAGATCATCAATGCTCATGACCACCCCATGTGTGGCCCCAATCAGAATCAAATTTGACAGCCTGTTTTGATAGTTCCCTTTGGCTCTAAGTCTCTAACCCAAAGTAGGGTCAATTCGAGATAATGACCATATGCTAACAGAGATGGCCCATGAAAATCCTTAGAACCAGATGATTCAAAATCCCGTGTGATTGTTATTGTGCTAGGTTCTTCCAATGTTGAATATGCAGTCAAACTTGAACTGTGCTTGTATGACAAACAGGATCTTTGAGAAAAAAAATCATGTGGGGCCTTTAGTTAGGGCTTCCAAGTATAGTTGTAGATTGAAATTATTCTGTGGTGAGGGAAGAAACCAAAATAGATTAAATGATAGGTACAGTGACAATGGAAATACTACAGTCTACGGCCTATACTTTGACTACCAAGGTGACAATATGCAATCACCTTAAACAGCTCTGGCCCTCATTTTGTTAATGGCTGAAGCAGATGGGACCCGTTTGAATGTGAGTTGTATTGATAGAAGGCAAAATACCCAAAAGTAAAAATTTGACTTTGACCAAAATCTAAGGACAGAGAAATCATATATGATGGGTCCCAATTCCCACCCTACGAGTGGCAATTAGTGGATTTATCAATAAAGTTATCTCCTCCCCCTCAGCCCATATTGGCACATGTAGGGCCTGGACTTGTTCACAAAGGCCTATACCCAAGTACATCAATCCATGGGTTGTAGGCCTG